CACATGGCTCCGGTTCGATCAACATGCTGTAGGTAAGGGGTTCTGCATTGGTGGCGATGCGGAAGAGCGAGCGGAAAGCAGCGTGGCGGGTTTTGCGGCGGTTGAAGCGAAAGACGAACTCATCGAGATAGGCCTGCAGATGCTTGCGACGCAGCCCGTGGTAGACGCCTCGCGCCCATCCTTTGAGGTTGGAGAAGACTTGGTGGATCCACGGCAGGACGAGGTGAGCGGCGGTCTTCCCGACGACATGGACATTGTGGCGATCGGCGGGGACCGCAGCGTAGCCGGACCAGCCGTCGGTTTTCGCGATGGCGTCGGGATCGGCGGCGGTTTCGACGAAGTGTCCGAGGTCGGCGGCGCCGTAGGAGGAGATTTCGGCCAGCCGCAGGCGGCCTGGGATGTTTCCGTCCCCGAGTTCGATGGCGCCGACGATGAGCATCTTGCCGTCGTGGCTGCGTCCTTGCCCTCCGGTGGGAGGATCGTCTTTGGTCCGGAATGGAAGGCTGGCCTCGTCGATTTCCACCAGGCCCGACAACGGGTTGCGCTCGGGGTCGACCATGCTGGCGCGCAGCTTGTGGGCGAGCAGCCAAGCGCTGCGGTAAGAGCCGATACCGAGCTGTTTCTGGAGCTGCAGGGCAGAGATGCCGTTGGAGTGGGGTCGCCATCAGGTAGGCGGCCCAGAACCAGACGGTGAGCGGCAGCTTGCTGGCGTGCAGGATCGTCCCGGCCGTCACCGAGGTCTGCCGGCGGCAGCCGGCGCACTCGAAGGTGTGTGCTTTTCTGCGCAGCGCCCATCCCTTTTCATGGCCGCACGCGGGACAGACGAAGCCGTCCGGCCAGCGCATTTCGATCAGCCAGGCGGCGCAGGCGTCATCGTCCGGGAACATGTGCTGGAAGGCGAGGAGGCTGTCGGGGACCTGTTTCATGTGGTGGCTCCGTCGGCAGGAACGTATAGGGAACATTCTACCCGTTCCCCCGCCCTAACCCCAACCTCAACATCTGGTGGCAAACTCTCGCGACCGGAGCCATGTGCATAAGCGGTACACGAAATTACAAAACGAACCCAAATTCGTGTAACCAGTTGTTTTAGATGTCAAATTACGACGTACCGCGGGGCCCCGTGTCGGGCCCGCGCGCTGGTCGGGGTGGCCGGATTTGAACCGGCGACCCTCTGCTCCCAAAGCAGATGCGCTACCTGGCTGCGCCACACCCCGTACCGCCGCGACTCCTCCAGCGAGTCATAAGAGCCTCATGACCCCGCCGCAAGCGCAGGGTTAACACCCCGGACAATTGTGCGGTGCACGGCGTGCGCTGCCTGCGTCAGCTTGGCGCCATGCTGTATGAGAACGAGCGGGCCATAGCGCACAGGTTGAGCGGGCGTATGTCTCGGTGCGAGAGTGGTGCCCACGGTCCGTGCCGCCGCCTGTCCCACGGAATCCCACTTATCCCACTTAATCCCACTTAATCCCGGCGAATCCCGCTTCAACTTTAATGCTTGCCCGAGGTGGAGCGGGGAGCCGGATCGCGACCCCGGTGAGAATTACAGGCTAGGGAAAGTCTGAACAACCCCATGTTCGCGGTTTCGAGGGGGAGAGGCGGCTTGGATGTGAAGCTCGACGATATTGCCGACAGGCCGGGGGCTGCTTTGGTCACGGGATACGGAGCGAACGGGCGATATCCGCGTCGATCCGCCTCCTTCCCCGCCGTCCCGCCAGCGGCGGGCAGACTACTCCCCTGTCATCCCGTCGCGTAGCGGCCGGCGATCAGCAGATTCGAGAACCCCAGCAGCAACGCGATGCGCTGCCTGTTCTTTGCCACGCCCCGGTAGCGCACCTTGGCGTAGCCGAAGTGCCGCTTCACGTACAGGAACGGATGCTCAACCTTCGCCCGCACCGACGCCTTGCGCTTCTCGGCCGCCTCTTCGGCGACGCCCTCGCCCAGCAGCCGGCGCCGCCCCGGCTTCATCGCCACACGCCACTCGACACCGCCGTCCCGGTGCTCGGGACGCTTCTCCACCCCCTGGTAGCCTGCGTCGCCCCACGCCGTCGTCTCAGCGCCATGCAGCAGCGCTCCCGCCTGCGTCACGTCGCTTGCGTTGGCCGCCGTCGTCGTCAAGCTGTGCGCCAGACCCGACCCGGCGTCCACCCCGATGTGCGCCTTCATCCCGAAATACCACTGCTTGCCCTTCTTCGTCTGATGCATCTCAGGGTCCCGTGCGCGGCGCCGGTTCTTCGTCGACGACGGCGCGTCGATGATGCTCGCGTCAACGATCGTCCCCGTGCGCAGCCGATGGCCGCGCGACGCCAGGTGCGCATTGATCTCCTCGAACAGACCCTCGCCCAGGCCGTGCTTCTCCAACAGATGCCGGAAGTTCAGGATGGTGGTCTCGTCGGGCAGCGCCTCCGTCAACCGCAGCCCCACGAAACGCCTCACCGACTCCACCTCGTAGAGAAGGTCCTCCATCCCCGGGTCGCTCAGGTTGTAGAACAACTGCACGCAGTGAACACGCAGCATCACCGACAGCGGGTACGGGCGCCGACCGCGCCCCGCCTTCGCATAGAACGGCTCGATCCGTCGCTCCAGCCGCTCCCAGGGAACCAGCTTGTCCATCTTCTCAAGGAACAACTCACGCCGCGTCCGGCGCTTCTTCAAGTCGTGCTCCAGTTCCGCAAAGCTTGCCTGTGCCATGGCTCGATCATCCAATCCGCGACTCCTGCGCAAATTATGGCACACGCAACTTGATCAGACCTTCC